AAAAAATATAGAAACTAAATCTGAAAACTTTAAAATAAACGAAATTACCATCAAAATATAGATCCCGACGAGAGGAATCCAACGGTAGGTGACCCGTCAAATTTCGACGGGTGGAACACAAAATAAAACTCCGGCAAGACCACCGTTCTCGAATGAAAAAAAATTGCAGAAACAGATCAGCGTTCGAAACTGAATGAAATCACCACCAAAAGAAAGAGCTCGACGAGAGGAATCCAACGGTAGTTAAACCATCGAATTCCGACCACCGGAGAGAGAGTTATGGCTCCGGGAAGCAATTTCGCTGGTGGGAGGTTTGTGGAGGCGGAATTATGAATTTGGGAGAGAAGAAGAGAGAGACCCGTGAGTGGCTAGGGTTTAAAACTGATTTTAGAAGGGTATTATAAGAACTTCAGGGTAGCCCAGGGGGGTATGTCAAAATATTTTCGAAATGAGGGGAGTTTCTCTAGAGTGTAATCCACTTGGTAGTTAGTTATATAGTATAATTTAGAAATGAGGGGTCTACAAAATAATCCCATTTTATATATTAATCTTACATATCGAGTGTAGCATCTACTAAATTTTATTCTGCGGGCCAATAATAAACTAGGTCTCTACTCTCGGCCGGTCTATGAGATCGATGTTACTCATACTGAAATGTATCGGGTAATTTTGCACCATAAATCTATATATAAAAATAACTACTTACTAAGCTTAGATACACATGAGTGCGTGTATTACATTGTGTGTAGACGAGTGTTACATAATAATTTACTGTATTTTATCGAGTGTAGCATCTACTAAATTGAAATTTGAACTATCATTAGTAAATTTATCAAAACCAATCAAACTCATTAAAACTGGTCGACATAACAATTAAAGAAAAATAGTTACACATGTTCTTAGAATAAATAATTTGGAGTACCGTTGAGAGAATCAAAAGACATGAATCACGTGACATAGTGATATATAGTTGTTTGAGTGAATCGATCGACAATGGATCTTTCAAGGGCCCAATAAAATTAAATATAAGTAATAATAATGATTACAAAAAAGAAAAAAGAAAAAAAAAGTTCCGAAGATTCCGGCTCTTTGCTATCCAGGTGTTCACATCAGATTAATGTTATTTGGGTGTGTGTAGATGTGAATTAGGACGATAATTTCGACTCAAGTTTTGATAGAGGTTTGAAACGAAAGGGTAGTCGAGATAAGGAACTCGATTCTTTAATTCTCCTTAAGATAAATTTTGTCCCGTGTAGCTTTTTTTTCGGTTTACGAGAATTGTTTACAAAATAAAATGACTACTTCAGTTTCAATGAAGTAGTACAACAATTCTTGGAACACGGCAAACAAAACGAGACTCGACAATTTGAACAATATGCAATAAGATACTTGGATGAGAAAATCAATTCAATTATGAATCGGATTTCATGGGAACGAATGAGTTCAAATGGTGGATTTTCAAATCTGTTTGTAGATATTCTAATTAACTAAACACCCATTTAATTTAATATGTGCTTAAACAACTTCATCTCTTTCAAGAAT